CGGATCCAAGGGATCAGAACAGCAGGGACCTCACCCTTGGTGCGCAAGGGGAAGACCGTGGTGTAACGCGAGTAGTCGTCGACAACCAGCAAAAAGTACCGCTCACCGCCCTGACCACGAACGCGGGCTGGGCCCCACACGTCCAGGTGGAGGGTCTCCAGAGGAGCCTCTGTCGGGGGGAACGAGGAGGAGTGAGGAGCGGCGCGCTGCTGCCCCTCGACGCAAGGAAGGCAAGGCGGCGCAGGCGAGGCAGGGAGGGGAGGGAGGGACCTGGGAAGACCGGACACAAGGAGGCGACGGTGCATGCCACGAAGGCGTGGCAAGGAGGGGTGACCCAGGCGGTGGTGCCAGAGAAGAGTCTGGTGCGACAGGGAACGACACTCACAGGCGTGGGCCACCAGACCTGACGCAGACACCTGACCGACAGCAGCTACCTGGGGAGACGCAGTGGTCAGTGTGTAGAGACTCGACCCCGGCCGACGGGTGAACGTAGCCAGGTGACGGCCGGTCCTGGAGCACGTGCAGATCGCCACACGCTGTCCGCCAGGGGTAAAGGTGTCAACCCACTGATCCTGGAGGACAGCGTTGCTCACCAGGTTCGTCGAGAACGAGGGGAGGTGGAAACCCGACAACGAGCCAGACGGAACCGCCGGACAAGGGAGGACAGTGGTGGACTGGGCAAGGACTGGGCCCCCAGAGGGGTCAGCCAAGGAGACTGGGACCGGTGCAGGAAGCGGTGTGAGCTCAGTACTGTCACGAAAGAAGCAACGGGAAGCACCTGAGTCAAGGGTGAAGGTGTGACAGGCCTCAGCCGGTGCGGTACCTGAGAGAGCAGTCTCTGTGGGTGCTGTACCTGAGAGAGCAGACTCGAAACCAGCCGGGACAGCACTGGGGGGAGCAAGTACAGGGGGCACCATACCAGAGAGAGCAGACTCACTAGTACCCAGGGCAGCAGGCTCTATACCTGGGTCAGGCGGCACACACAAGTAACAGTCTCCCTCGGCACTAACAGTCAATGCATACATGGCAGCAATAATAGCATCATAGTCAAGAGCAAAGACATCAACACCAGCCCTCATGAGCTCAGCCCAGCGGGGGCGCTCAACATCCGCACCCATCTCCTCACGCCAAGCGTCGTCAAGGCGGGAGAAGCAGCGGTACGGGGTGTGGAACCTCCCACACGTCTGTCCCTTGCGGTCACCTGTGCGAATGACATAAGAACAGCGGGCACTGGCCCCCGACGTCCCACGCTGAGCAAGCCACTCACGAAGCTGCTGGGTCGTCTGGGGACGCTGCTGCTGCTGGGAGCTCTGGCCCGAGCCAGTGCCTCCACTCCGACCTCCGCCGCCACCACTACCACCGCTCCGACCGCCACCGCCACCACCGCCACCACCGCCACCGCCGCCACCGCCGCCGCCGCCACTACTGCCACTGCTTCCTCCGCCGCCCCCGTCTCCACCACCGACCCCACTCCCTCCAGCACCGCCTCCCCCCCCACCTCCCCCACCTCCTCCCCCCCCAGCGCCACCACCACCACTTTTGCCCCCCTTGCCCTTGCCGGTGCGGCGCCTCCCACCAGGAGTAGAAGCAGCGCCAACAGACTCAGCACCAAGGAAGTCAACAGCAGCAGCAGCAGCGTAGGAGGGAGCGAGGGGAGAGGGAGAACACCCCTCAAAGATGGGGGTGCGAGGAGCGCCACGAGCAGCACCGACAGCTACAATGCTCTTTTCGGCCGCGAGCAGGTGCTCCTCTAGGAGGGCGACTGTGAGCTCAGTGGGACAGCGAGCAAGGAAGTGGTCTCGAACTGAGCGGAGGGTGTCAGGGAGACGGGTGACTATGAAGTGGAGTGTCCAGTACAGTGGAGGGGGGTTCTTAGCGCAGAACTCGGTGGGAAGGGCGGCACGCAGGCGAGCATCACTAGTGCGAAGGTGGGTGATAAGATCGGCGACTGTAGTAAAGGTGGACAGATCGGGGAACAGGTACGGCAGCATGAGGCGGCTAAGCTCGGCTGTGGCAGGCGAGGAGTAGCGAGCGACGACAGCGTCGTACAGGGCCTTAGCGGATTTGCAGTCGCCAAAATGCTCTAGCTCAGCTAACGGCAGGTGACTGCGAATGGCTAGGCGAGCAGCTGCGTCACGAGTCTGCCAGTGGGAACGAACACTAAGCTCAGCTGTGGCAGGAGGGGCAGGCGCAGCACCAGACGCGTAATCATAGAGCGACACATGCTCCTTGCTATCGCTCAGGAGGAACAGCTGCAGGTCATCTAGCCAAGCGGTGAACCGCACAGGGCGGCCCTCAGCATCGAACGACAGCACGCGGATGGAAGCCATAGCGACAGTGTGACAGAGTAACGCAAGCTGCCGCAGCAGGGGAAGGCGACTGTGCACGGATAGAGAGCAGCGGGCGAGGCTGGCGCTACGGGCAGGCGGCGCTGCAAGCGGTCAGCGCGACGGGAGGGCGACGCTGCGAGCGGGCAGCGCGGCGGACGGGCCGGGAAGCGGGCAGCGCGGCGGGCAGGCGGCGCTGCAAGCGGGCAGCACGGCGGGCGGGCGACGCTGCGAGGCGGGCGGGCCGCGAAGCGGGCAGCGGGCGGGCGGGCGGGCTGCGAAGTGGGCGGGCCGCGAAGCGGGCAGCGAGCGAGCGGGCTGCGAGGCGGGCGGGCCGCGAAGCGGGCAGCGAGCGGGCGGGCGGGCTGCGAAGTGGGCGGGCCGCGAAGCGGGCAGCGAGCGAGCGGGCTGCGAAGCGGGCGGGCCGCGAAGCGGGCAGCGAGCGAGCGGGCTGCGAAGCGGGCGGGCCGCGAAGCGGGCAGCGAGCGGGCGGGCGGGCTGCGTAGCGAGCGGGCCGCGAAGCGGGCAGCGAGCGGGCGGGCGGGCTGCGAGCGGGCGGCTCGGCGAGGGGCGCGCGAGGGCGCTAGTGAGGGGCGCGCGAGGGCGCTAGCAAGGGGCGCGCGAGGGCGCTAACGAAGGGGCGCGCGAGGGCGCTAACGAAGGGGCGCGCGAGGGCGCTAACGAGGGTGCGCGCGAGGGCGCTAACGAGACTAGGACACGGGGTAGCGTGGTAACCGCATGCGAGCGGTGGTGGGCCCTTAAAAAAACGGTCGGTAGGTCCTAGGGACCTCCTGCTCTGATACCATATCAAAATGACTAGGCAAGAATGAATGAACTAGCAGAAGTTTGGGTACAAATATGAAACCCTAGTTGGGGTTGTACCCCATATTGGCTACCCCACTACAGCCTACAAGCATAATACAGTTTAACACGCCCTCCCTCCCACTGGCCCCACTGCAGGTGACGCGAGCGTTCCTGGTGTGAGGGGATGTCGTGAGGGTAGCGGGCAATGGAGGAAAGGTGGCGGCGGTGGCGGACAGTGGGGGAGGTGGCGTGACGGGGTGGCCGTTGTGAGGCACCAGCAGCGCCTGCCGTCGCCCTTTATCGCCCCTAGCGCGACTGTCGCTGTGGGGGGGAGGGTGCACGGGTGGCGGGAGTGTACCCACGGGAACCAGCCTCCGCCCTCCTCTCTCCTCTCTCTCCCTGCAGCGCCTGTCGCTATGGGGGAGGGGAGGAGTGTGAGGGGGTGGCGAGGGAGATTCTGCCAAGCTAGCAGCCGCCCTTCCTCCTCCTCTCTCTCTCTCTCACTGTCGTGCGTGCCGCTACGGGGGGGAGGGTGAGAAAGGATGGCGGAAGTCAGCCGGGCATCTGCTGCTGCCGCCCGCTACTACTGTGGCACCTCCAGCTGCCGCCCCTGCCGCCTCTTGCCCTTCCTTCTGCTGCCTGCTGCTGGGGCCTGCAGGTGCTGCCGTCGAGCCGCTGCTGTCCTGCTGCACGTTGCAGCCACAGAGCCTGCTCCTCAGGCGACCTGCCGCCGCTACACCTGCTACTGTTTCTGCCTTGGCCGAGGGTCTGGTACAGCTGGATCTGCCACCACTGGAGTGGTTGGCACTGCACTTGCTTGTTGCTGCGATTTCCGCTGCGCAATCGTGGTGTATCCCTTCAGGGGGCGCTAAGGGCGTATTCCTGACTTCGGGTCATCCCCTCTTCGTGTCATCCGAATTTGTGGGATCCAATTGCAAAACTCGAATCTCAAACCGCGGGGTTTCCGATTGGCTACCACAATTTTCGGATGACCCAAACACCGGATGACCCGAAGTCAGGAATACGCCCTAACTGTTTACTACTCTCCTACAACCAGTTATGGGGGCGTGTCTGAAAATATAAGTTATTATTTTCTATATGCAACTGCATGTAGGATTGGTTACTGTAGTTATAACGTTTTCCTATTTGGTGGTGCACCTTTCTTGTTTGTTCTTTCCCATTTGTACCCTCACTCAATTTTGAATCGGCCTCTTTGGCTAATCTTTCGACCCTTTCTTCTCGTAACTCTCGTTCTACCCCTAACCCAAGTTCTAAGTCAACTAGGCTTTTGACAGGACGAGGTTCATAGAAGCGGGTAAGAAATCAACAAGGTAAATGCACGCATCGGTAAATATGGACAAAGAATCTACACATAAAGCAGAACACAGCTATTGCACATGATTTTGCGTTTGACGATGACCATCGGTGCCAACTTCTCTCTAGTGGGTCATCCTACCGAGCATGACGGTAGACCCTCAACCCAAAACTCTAATATTTACACTGTTGAAGGAAAATGCAGCCCTAGGTTGTATTACGGTAAAAAAAGCAAGTACTACTCTACCTAGAATTTTTTCTATCTGAAGCACAAATCAGGTGTACATATGAGGAGACGATTTTTCAATTGGGTACTGTAGAAACGGATGAGCTTTTACTGTTCGTCCCGTGGGCTCACCTTCGGAAATATCCGTTTGACAGAAACAGACACGTGGTGTGGTGTCATGAGTGCGATAACCTCGCGAGGGAGAAATGCACGCAAAAACCCCAGCAGACTGACACGATGCTCATGTAAGTGCGACTATCGCAAATAGCATTGCCACCTAAGAAGCTGCAATCGTAGCGATAATGGCGACGGGGCAAGGCGAGCAGGCGATGGACGGGGCCGCGCGCGACGGGTCGGCATGGACGGCGGCGGAGGACAAGCTGTTCGAGACGCTGCTCGTCGACATGGACGCGCTGCCCGACGCCGCCGCCGCGGACGACGCGCGGTGGGAGGCGATCGCGGCGAAGCTTCCGGGAAAAACAGCGGACGAGGTGCGGCGGCACTACGAGGTGCTGGAGGAGGATATCCGCGGCATCGAGAGCGGCCGCGTGCCGCTGCCCGCTTTCGACGCCAATGGCGCGTACGTCCTTGCGAGCACTGATGTCAAGGACGAGCCGATGACTTCAGCGGGATCTCCGCGAGACGGCTCAGACGCGGAGGCATCGGGAGCGCGGAAGGCGTCCGCGGGGAGCGCGGGGGCTGGGAAAGAGAAGCAGACGTCACCCGCGGGTCAGTCGCAGCAGCAGGCGTCGTCGCAGCAGCAGGCATCGCAAGGGGCCGCGGCGCAACAGGCGCGAGGGTCGGAGCAGGAGAGGCGAAAGGGCATCCCGTGGACCGAGGAGGAGCACAGGTGCGCGGCATGGGTGGGAAGGCAGGGGGGGAAGGGGTGGGGATGCGAACACATGTGCGCGGCAGGGGGAAAGGGATGGGGAGGGAGTCATGCGCGCGCTATGGCCAGGGGGAGAGGGGGAGGGGGCAGGTGCGCGCTATGGGCAGGGGGAGGGGGACTGGTGCGCTCGATGGGCAGGGGCCCGGCTGTCGCTGGGGCAGCGCTAGTTGCCGTAATGAGAAGAAAGCGTTGCACGCCAGTTGCCCTGCTGTGCTGCTCTGTTGTGCTGTGCCGTGCCGTGCCGTGCCGTGCCGTGCCGTGCCGTGCCGTGCCGTGCCGTGCTGTGCTGTGTCAGCACATGGCAGTGCATGTCAGCACATGGCAGTGCATGTCAGCACATGGCAGTGCATGTCAGCACATGGCAGTGCATGTCAGCACATGGCAGTGCATGTCAGCACCCGCTGCACGCCCTCACACATGTTCCTCTATGTCTGCTCCTAGCTGATGCCTGTGCCGACGCCTCTCCGCGCATGCCCATTCCTCTGCTTGCCCTCCGGCAGGCTCTTCCTATTGGGGCTGGCCAAGTTTGGCAAGGGTGACTGGCGCAGCATCTCGCGCAACTTTGTCATCTCGCGCACGCCCACGCAGGTGGCGTCGCACGCGCAGAAGTACTTCATCCGCCTCAACGCCATCAACAAGGACAAGCGCCGCTCCTCCATCCACGACATCACCTCCGTCGCCGCCGCTGCTGGTGCTGGCGACGCCGGGCAGCAGCAGAGCGGGCCGATCACGGGGCAGCCGGCGGGGACCGCTAGTGGGGGAGCACAGCAGGCACTGCAGCACCAACATGCACATGCCCATGCCCACGCTCATGCTCACACACATGCCCAAGGGGTGCCATCCCATGCCCAGCCCATGCCGCCCGCCTCTGCGGTATTTGGCCCGCCCGTAGGGGCGCCGCCCATGGGACACGTGCACCATGGCATGATGCCCATGCCGCCCGCGCCTGGCCACCCCGCATATGGCCCGCGCACCCACCTGGCCCGACCCGTGGTGGCAGCACATGGCATGCCCCTCCCCCACATGGGTTACGTACAGCCCCCCACCATGCACCATGGATGAGGCATGGGGCACTCACACATGTTGCATTGAGGAGAAGGTGCCAAGACTTAGAAATTCACCAACTGTTTAGGAAGAAAATGTTGTAAGTGTTTGCCATGCGGTAAAGCCTTAGAGAAAATGTTGATGGCGTTAGTTACGCATGAGTGTGTCAGAAACGGAATGGTGATGTACCTAACCCTAACAACTGTACCCCACATGACATGCCTCACTACATGCTACAACATTTGACACGCAACCACAGTGTAAGTGAGGGGTGTCATACAACAACCAAACCGGTCACAAGATCAGTCACAAAGAGACAAACAGGTTCTCAGATTCACTTTCAAGGGGGCTGACGCATCAGCGTCCCTGCCTGAGTTTCAATGTTCCACAGAAAAAAAAGGCTGAATTTTCAGGGTTTCTAGTAAATAAAAAGGACTGATTTTCAAGCACATGATGCATTAGCACATGAATATAGTGTTAACAAAACATGGTGAACGGATGGCTGAACGCATCGACGTCACCACTCTCATGCAAGACCGTTAGAACGAGCTGTTGCGCCAACTTCACGAAACTCCGAAGAAATCGAGGCACTGACGGCTGAACGCACGTCCCTGCAGAATGACGTCGCACGAGCACAGCAAGCACAATCACAAGCACCTGGCATTCCGGGACAAACTGCACCACAGGCATCACAACATGGAAGTATGGGGCGACCCGCGAACGCGGCTAGCGATGGCGTCGTCCGCCACGACAGAGACGACGACCATGGCGCGTCACACCCCGAGGCGACGAATGCGACCAGTAGCCAGCCTCGCGTCACGATTTCGGCAACGACCAACGATTCCGCACTGCCGTCACAGATGCCGCTGAAGCTGCAGCGTCCGCCTGTCAAAATTATATGCATGTTATATATTTGTGTAGGTTGTAGTGGGGTAGCCAATATGGGGTACAACCCCATTAGGGTTTCATATTTGTACCAAACCCTGACTAGTCATTCTCATTCCTGTCTCTAGTTTCTGACATGGTTTCAGAGCAGTAGGTCCGTAGGACCGTTTTTTTTTTCGGGCCCACCTACCGCTACCCCACGACTGTGACTGTGACTGTGACTGTGACGTGCTGCGCTGCGCGCGCCGTCAGCCTGCTGTCTGCTGTCTGCGCTGTCTGTTGCTGCTTCGCGCGCATACCTAATTCACGCGCGCTGCCTACTGCCTGCTGTTGCCCCGCGCGCGTCGCCCTTACAGCCCGCGGGCGCCTTGCTGCTGCCCCGCACACCGCCCGCGCAGCCCGCGCGCGGCCCGCAGCAGCCCCGCGCGCCGTCCGCACAGCCCGCGCCGAGCCCGCGCAGCCCGCGCGCGGCCCACTGCTGCCCCGCGCAGCCCGCGCCGAGCCCGCGCAGCCCGCGCCGAGCCCGCGCAGCCCGCGCGCGGCCCGCTGCTGCCCCGCGCACCGCCAGCACAGCCCGCGCCGCGCCTTAGCCGCCCGCGCGCGGCCCGCCGCAGCCCCGCGCGCTGCCCTACCTGCTTGCGCCGAGCCGCTGCAGCCTGCACGCGGCCTGCTGCTCCCCCGCGCGCTGCCTGCGCTGCCTGCGGCTACTTTGCGTGCCGCCCTTGCTGCTTGCACGCTCACTTTGCGGCCTCGCACAAAGTCTCGCCTACTGCCTCTGCCTGCAATTGGATTATGGCGACGTTTAACGTTCTTGCGTTTGAGCCTGACTGTCGCCCGATAGAGTTCCCCACCTGGCTCGATAATCTCACACTGTTTCTTATGAATGATGCCAAAGAAGGCGTTTCACTGTTCGATCACACGTCTGGCACTGCCGTTGCTCCTGCTGACGATGCTCCTGCTCTCGACCGCTCACAGTGGCAGACTCGCGATGCTGCTGCGCGCCTCGCTATTTGCAATCATCTGCCGGTCATTGAGCGCGCGCATTTTAGCCAGCACAAGACTGCTAAGGCACTGTACGACACTGTGGTTGCGCGCTACTCCTCCCCGGCCACTACAGCGCTAGGCCGTCTCATGCTACCCTACCTGTTCCCCGACCTGTCCTCGTTTCACACTGCTGAGGACCTCATCGCTCACCTGCGCACTAGTGACACTCGTTTCCGTACCGCCCTTACCGACGAGTTCCTTGCCAAAAACACTCCTCCGATGTACTTTACGCTCTACTTCCTCGTCACCCGCCTCCCTGACACTCTTCGCTCAGTCAGGGACCACTTTCTCGCTCTAGACCCTACCGCTCTCACCGTCGACGACTTCAAGAAGCACCTCCTAGCAGCCGAGAAGAACATTCTTGCTGTTGGTGCTGCTCGTGGCACTCCTTGCACTCCCCTCGTTGAGGGGCGCTCCCCCTCCCCCCTTGCCCACTCCTGCGCCACTGCTGCTGCTGCTGTCGACTTCCTTGGTGCTGAGGAGGTTGGGGCTGCTTCCGCTCCTAGTGGGAAGCGCCGCAGCACCAGAGGCAGAGGGGCTGGCAGGGGAGGTGGAGGTGGCGGTGGAGGGGGCGGCGGTGGTGGCGGAGGGGGAGGTGGGACGACGTGGGGGTGGTCGGGGTGGTGGCGGTGATGGTGGAGGCGGCGGTGGTACCGGGAGTAGTGGCGATGGCAGCGACAGTAGTGGGGGAGGAGCCAGTGGTGGTGGCAGCAGTGGTGGCCAGGGACAGCAGCAGCAGCAGCAGCCGCAGCAGCAGCAGCAGCAGCAGCGACAGCGCCAGGCCCCCTCGTCTCAGCAGCTTCATGACTGGTATGCCGGGCGTGGGGCGTCTGGGGGTGCTGGTCGCTGCCCCTATATCATTCGCGCAGGTCCCCGCGCTGGTCGCCCATGCAATGGTTTTCACACGGAGTTTCGCTTCTTTGCTCGGCTTAGCGACGCCTGGCGCGTCAAGTTTCCTGAGGCTACTGAGTTCCCCAACTGGGCAGACCTGCTTAGGCGTGGTGTACCTATCTTTGATCTTGACTATGATACTATTCTTGCTGCCATGTATGCGTTGACTGTTAGTGCTAAGCGTGACTGCTACTTGTGTGTGCCGCCTGACCCAAGTATAGACCTAGGTATAGCGCCCGCAGCTCTAGGTGCTAGTGAGTCTGCTCTCCCTGGTAATGCGTCCGCTCAGCACTTGCACACCTTTACACTTGACTCTGGTGCTTCCCGCTGTTTCTTTCGCGACAGTACCACAGTCACTCCCCTCCCTGCACCTGTCCCTGTCTCACTGGCTGACCCCTCTGGGGGCCCAGTGCTTGCACGAGCCACGACTGTGCTTCCGTGCCCGGCGGTCCCGTCTGGTGAGCTGTCAGGTCTCCACGTTTACTTGTGAGCCGGGGTCCAGTCTGTACACCCTCACCACTGTTTCACGCTACACTCCTTTGTCTCCACAGCTGTACGCATCTACTCAGGTAGCTACCCAGTGTGAGTGTCGCCGCCTGTCGCACCAGACCCTCCTTTGGCACCACCGCCTTGGTCACCCCTCCTTGCCTCGCCTTCGTGGCATGCACTCTTGCTCCCTGGTCTCTGGTCTTCCCAGGTCTCTGCCTGCCCTCCCTCCCTCGCTTGCGAAGCCCTGCATTCCTTGCGTCGAGGGGCAGCAGCGCGCCGCTCCTCACTCCTCCTCGTTCCCTCCCACGGAGGCTCCTTTGAAGACCCTCCACCTGGACGTGTGGGGCCCAGCCCGCGTCCAGGGACAGGGCCGCGAGCGGTACTTCCTGCTGGTTGTCGACGACTACACGCGTTACACCACGGTCTTCCCCTTGCAGCGCAAGGCGGATGTCCCTACTGTCCTGATCCCTTGGATCCGTGCTGTTCGTCTCCAGCTCCGCGAGCGGTTCGAGTCGGACTTTCCTGTCCTGCGTCTGCACTCTGACAGAGGTGGTGAGTTCACCTCCGACCTCTTGGCAGCCTTCTGTGCGGAGCACGGCATCCGCTAGTCGTTCACGCTTCCGGCCTCTCCGCAGCAGAATGGGGTTGCTCAGCGTCGCATTGGCTTAGTTATGGAGGCCGCTCGTACCTCCATGATCCATGCGGCGGCTCCCCATTTTCTGTGGCCATTTGCGGTCCGGTACGCCACGCATCAGCTCAACCTCTGGCCCCGTGTCTCCTTACCGGAGACCTCGCCCACACTGCTGTGGATGGGGGAGGTTGGCGATGCGTCGCGATTTTGGGTCTGGGGTGCTCGTGCCTTTGTCCGCGATACCACCACGGACAAGCTCTCCGCTCGCGCCATTCCCTGCGTCTTCCTTGGTTTTCCTCCTGACGCGCCTGGCTGGCAGTTCTACGACCCCGCCTCGCGCCGTGTCTTTGCATCTCATCACGTCACCTTTGACGAGTCCGTCCCCTTTTACCGTCTCTTTCCCTACCGCACTGCCCCTCGCCCCCCCCCGCCGCTCTTTCTCGCTCCAGGTCCTCCCCAGGTAGACCCCCTCCCCGCGCCAGGTCCTGCTCCTTCAGGTGTTTCTCAGGTAGACCCTCCCGTGCCTGCGCCTGTTGAGGTCACTGGTGACTCGGGTCTTGTTAGGGGTGGTCCTGCTCGGGGTGCTGTCTCTGGGGGTGCTGAGCCTGAGGGTGCTGAGCCTGCGCGTGAGGAGCCTGGGGGTGCTGAGCCTGGGGGTGCGGAGTCTGGGGGTGCTGAGCCTGAGCGTGAGGAGCCTGGAGGTGCTGAGCCTGGGGGTGCGGAGTCTGGGGGTACTGAGCCTGAGCGTGAGGAGCCTGAGGGTGCTGAGCCTGGAGGTGCTGAGCCTGGAGGTGCTGAGCCTGAGCGTGAGGAGACTGGAGTGACTGTGCCTGGGAGTGCAGTGTCTGGGGGTACTGAGCCTGAGCGTGCTGAATCTGGGGGTGCGGCGCCTGCGGGTACTGAGCCTGCTGGTGTGCGGTCCCCTTGGAGTGGCCGCCTTCGTCCGCGTGCGCCTCTCTCCCCACAGCAGCTGCACGAGTGGTACACTCGCCGTCAGGGTCGCGCTGCTGGAGCTCGGGGCTCTGCCGCTGGAGGTGCTTCTGCTGTCATCACTGGAGCTGGGAGTGGTGCTGGTACTTTGTCTACTGGAGGTGCTGGAGTCGCTGGTCCCGGAGGTGCTCGTACTGGAGGTACTGGAGCTGCTGGGGCTGGAGGTGCTGCGTCTGGGGGTGCTGCTGCTGGAGACACTGAGGCTGGAGACCCTGGGATTGATGAGAGGTGCCGGTTCTGGGGGTGCTGCTGCTAGAGACACTGAGGCTGGAGACCCTGGGACTGGAGGTGTCGGTTCTAGTGGTGCTGATGCTGGTGACGCTGGTCCTGGAGGTGCTGGCGCTGGAGGTTCTGGAGCTGCTGGAGGTGCTGGAGCTGCTGGAGGTGCTGGAGCTGCTGGAGGTGCTGGAGCTGCTAGTGTTGGTGGCACTATAGAGCCACGACTGTTCTTCGCCGTCTCCGTCGTCTCTGCCATCGCCCGATACTGTTCTTCGTCTCCGTCGTCTACTGGTCTTCCGTTACAGCCCGGCTCACCGCTGCCTGCTCCTTCTCCCTACACTGAGCAGCCTGGAGGCCTTGCTGAGCGTCGTGAGCCTGCGTCGCATCCCTTTTCGCCTGTTCGCACTGTCCGCACTGGTCGTACTGGTAGTCGTGTTCCTCGTCCGCGTCCGCCGGCTGTCCCTGGCACACACCTCATGGCTTTGCGTCCTTCTACTACTGCGCAGCGTGTTTCTCTGCCGTCTCCTCCTACGTCTTCTCTGCCTGATGTTTTGGACACTAAGTCTGACCGGTTTCGTGCTGCGCACCCTACTGTCACGCGTCTGTTAGCCACTGTTGTCACTGACCCGTCGTTTGAGTCTACTGTTGCGTCTGCCTTGGTCGCCGAGCTTGTTGACTTTGCTGCTGCCTGTCGCCTAGACTACGCTGCTATTCTTGTTGCTGAGTCTGAGTCTGTCTGTCCTCTGTCCGTCGGGGGTGAGTGTGCTCTTGGCATGGACGTCCTTGAGGACAGGCAGGAGGACCTTGAGTGTCTTGCAGCCGCTGCGCCTCATCTCGTGGCCATGCTGCTTGCCCCTTAGGGAGACCCGGATGCACCAGACATCCCTACCCCGCGCTCTTACGCTGAGGCGATCGCGGGTGAGTACTCCTCTCAGTGGCAGACAACCATGGACGCAGAGATGGCATCCTGGAAGTCCACAGGCACTTACGTCAATGAGGGCGAACATCGTCGATGGCATGTAAAATTCAGGGTGAAGCGGCCGCCGGGTTCTCTGCCTGTCTTCAAGGCTCGTTACGTTGCTAGAGGCTTCAGTCAGCATGAGGGAGTTGACTTCTTCCAGACCTTCTCCCCTACCCCGAAGATGACCACTCTTCGGGTGCTGCTGCACGTTGCCGCTCAGCATGACTACGAGCTTCACTCTCTTGACTTCAACACAGCCTTCTTACAGGGCAGCCTGCACGAAGAGATCTGGCTGCGCCGCCCACCTGGCTTCACTGGGTTGTTCCCTCCTGGTACCCAATGGAGCCTCCGGCGGCCAGTCTACAGTCTCCGCCAGGCGCCTCGTGAGTGGCATGACACACTGAGGACGACACTTGTGGCTCTTGGGTTTGCTCCTTCGACTGCTGACCTATTTCTGCGCACCGACACTTCGCTGTCGCCGTTCTACATCCTCGTGTACGTCGACGACTTGGTCTTTGCCACTGCTCACACTGAGGCCCTGGTGAAGTCGGAGCTGCAGAAGAGGCACACGTGCACAGACCTGGGTGAGCTGCGCAGCTATCTTGGCTTGCAGATCACTCGGGACAGAGCACGCTGCACCATCACACTGACTCAAGCACAGATAGTGCAGCAGGTCCTTCAGTGCTTCGGCTTCACCTGGTCCTCGCCACAATCCACTCCTCTGGCTACAGGTCACTCGCTCTCAGCTCCACCTTCGAACGAGTCCGTAGAGTCGAGTGGTCCTTACGCAGAGCTAGTGGGCTGCCTCATGTACCTGATGACTTGCACTCGACCTGACCTCGCGTACCCTCTTGGCCTTTTGGCTCGCTACGTGGCTCCTGGTCGGCACCAAAAGGTGCACATGGATGCTGCGAAGAGGGTACTGCGCTACCTGTGCAGTACATCGGGCATGGGGCTCGTCCTGGGAGGACGGAGCGACGTTGTCCTCACTGGGCACTCAGACGCTTCTTGGGTTGACTATGAGGCTACGCAGCGGTCGTCACAGGGTTACACCTTCAGCCTTGGCTCTGGCTCTGTTTCTTGGCGGTCTACGCGCTCGTCTTCTGTTCTCAGCTCCAGTTGTGAGGCTGAGATCTATGCCACAGCCATGGCTGCACAGGAGTTACGCTGGCTCACCTACCTGCTGACTGACTTGGGAGAGAGGCCTCGTTCTCCTCCAGTTCTGTACGTCGACAACAAGGCCGCCATTGCCTTGTGTCAGGAGCACAGACTGGAGCACAGAACAAAGCACATCGCTCTGCGTTACTTTCCAGGCTCGAGAGTTGCAGCAGCGAGGTCAGCTTCGTCTTGCTCACGTGGCCACTCGGGCCAACACTGCTGACATATTCACCAAGGCACTTCCGTCTGGTGATCATCAGCGCTTTTGTACTTTGTTAGGGCTTGTGCCTACGTTCTCGCACTTGCTGTAGTCTCTGCTTGTACTGTGATCTATATATATACCTGCATGCTTGCTCTTGCTAGGTAGTGATCACTGTGCTGCTATTGTTGCATATATATCTCTACATGTGAACTGGCCTGTGGCCCTCTGCTTGTGCTCAGTATGTGTGGTGACGTTGTGATCCACCCTGAGCTTGCTTTGCCTTTCTTGTGTGGTCTTGTGACCCCTTGCTCTCCCCCACTTTGCCTATGGGGGTGTGTCAAACTTATATGCATGTTATATAATTGTGTAGGCTATAGTGGGGTAGCCAATATGGGGTACAACCCCATTAGGGTTTCATATTTCCACCAGACCCTGACTAGTGATTCCTATTCGTATCTCTAGTGTCTGACACCGCCATGCTTCGGCCCGAGTCAACGGAGCGGTCCTACCGTTTAGGCGTGGTTGTCCACGATGAACGTATTTTTCGAGGACCCACCATGGACTGGTGGAGCGTCATCGTTATGAAGCCGAACGACTACGCGACTCTACCGACACGGGAAGGACAAACTGGACCCTGGGCGCCATCGTATTTCGTGGATGCGCCCCAATATCGCACGTGGGACGCGTGGTGCGCAGGTCAGCGCGCCCAATTTGAGCCAATTGCGGCTTCGAACGCAGCGCATCAGAAGCTCCGCACTTGGCGCCAACTCGGTTCCGTCCAAGACTACACCAGCGGGTTTCTGGCGCTATGCGAGCAGGTGGGCTACATGCACAATTCTGAGCGTATCGACTGCTAAATCGGCGGCGTGAAGCATGACATTGCTCAGGAAAATCCAGTTCCGCGGCGCCACTGATTTTTAGGAGATTCTTGCTATGGCGAAAAAAACTTGATTTCTTCTTCCGACTGAGACCGGGGTCCTAAGGAAGCAGCAGTAACTGGGGACATAGATCTTCTGGGACGAACGAGGGCGCTACGATACGTGCCGTCGCCGCGAATGCCGCTGCCGCACCGTTCAAAGGGCGCTGCTTCACGTGCAATCGGCCGAGACACCGTAAGAGCGAATGCCCGGAAATCATTAAGGGAAAGAAGGAAGCTGAGCAGCAGAAACAGACCAAGCAGCAGGGAAACGCTGGGAGTTTGTAGCAGACGGGCCCTCTACTGACAGGTCACGCCGCTCGCCCGACTCAACCATTTCTCACCAAGTAATTGTGCTAGTTCACACAATCGACCACACTCGGCCGAATAAGGAGGGTACTGCGGTAGACAGCCCCATAATGCTTAGTGGGAAAATTGGGACTGACCTAGCTAAAATATCCGTAGACGGGGGAGCCAGCCACAGCCTCATCAACACTGTCACGGTACGGAAATTGAAACTGCCACTGGGCAGATGTTTACCTGAGATCGATGCAAGACTGGTTGACGGCACGCCACTGGCGATACGGGAACGCGTAGACCGGCTTCGGATTCGATGCGGGGGTATTGACGTTTAGTCAGGAAATGCTCGCAACAACCCTCGACGCAACCGGCATTCTACTCGGCCGTGATTAGTTGCGACGTCACAATCCGCGAATCGATTGGATGACGGGTGACTGCACCGTGCGAGTGAACGGTAACAACATCGCCTTACCCCGTCTGAGTCTTCGTCGGTGCGTGTCAACGCGATCACGATGAAACGCGCCGTAGCGGCAGGAGCTGACGTGTATGCGGTTGACATTCGGGAAGCCGAAGCAGAAGACCAGGGGAGCGATTTACAGAAACTGCTCGCTCTCACGTACTGGATGACCTGGTAGCACTCCTGAAGCAGTATAGTGGGATATTTCTGGATGACCTACCAATGGGACGCCACCTCAGCGACCGCACGACCACAGGATAGAATTAGAACCGGGGGCATGGCCGACAGTACAACGACAGTTCCGATTGACCCAACCCGAACTAAGCGAACTGAGGAAGCAACTGTTCACACCGAAGGACAAGGGGGTTTCGCATGTGCATAGACTACCGAGCACTGAATATGGTTACCATCAAGTCCCGTTATCCCATCGCGCGAGCCGACGAACTGATTGACCAACTGCGCACAACCTGGATTTTCTCGAAAATCGACCTTAGAGGGGGTTACCACCAGATTTGTGTCAACCCACCCGACTGCCCCAAGATAGCTTTTAGCTTTTCGAACACACTACGGATCCTTCGAATACGCAGTAATGCCCTTCGGACTGACCAACGTCCCCGCCACCTTTCAAATGACGATGGCCGAAGCAGAAGACCAGGGGAGCGATTTACAGAAACTGCTTGCCCACGTACTGGATGACCTGGTAGCACTCCTGAAGCAGTATAGTGGGATATTTCTGGATGACCTACCAATGGGACGCCACCTCAGCGACCGCACGACCACAGGATAGAATTAGAACCGGGGGCATGGCCGACAGTACAACGACAGTTCCGATTGACCCAACCCGAACTAAGCGAACTGAGGAAGCAACTGTTTACACCGAAGGACAAGAGGGTTTCGCATGTGCATAGACTACCGAGCACTGAATATGGTTACCATCAAGTCCCGTTACCCCATCCCGCGAGCCGACGAACTGATTGACCAACTGCGCACAACCTGGATTTTCTCGAAAATCGACCTTAGAGGGGGTTACCACCAGATTTGCG